TAGGCTTGACTCCTCACGTTTGGGCATGTCGCTCTGCTCAGGTATTTTTTTTCCTCTTTCGTTTCCTACTTGGATGCGCTTGATCCTTCCGGTTGATCCTACTGCACCCACTTAGTGCTTAATAGTTTGGGGCAGGATTGGTGTGGGCCTGGGGTAATACCCTTGAAACAAGTGACTTTATGCTTTAGTGGGGCATCTGTACTTCTTATATGTTAGATAGCATCCTGTTAATATTGACATCAAGCCTGTCACTAAATCTATACGAGTTTGATTACCGTTTTCCCCTTTCTTTATTTAGCATGAGCGGGGATGAGTGTGAAGTTTATTTTGTCAATCTACTGAATTATTTTGGAAGATATCCTAGTGCAATATTTAACTATGTAATTCTTTTCCTTTATTTTGCAGCCCTTACTGGAAAATACGAAGGAGAAACTTTCTCGGTTTTGCCATGTTCCGGTAAATTGTTTACGTAGTTCGCTTGTGGTTCTCTCAGTGATTTTTTTGGGTAAAGTCTTATGGGCGAAATTTGTTTCCTTAATGGGGTTCTTAATCTTACATATCTTTTTATGGTTTTTACAGGCTGATAATATTCTCAATATTCATGATGTTCCCAACATATGGCATATTCCTCTTTTACTTAGAGTGGGTTTAATAGGCTTTGGATTCTTTGAAAATCATAGAACTTCCAATTTGTTATGCTAAGACTTTCTGCTTTTTATGTTTTCTGATGCTTTTTACTTGTTTCAGAACCAAAATGCACATCATTCAATTCTCAAACAACTAAATTTGCTCAGGTTAGTTCGGGCTTATAGGAAAACTTATCCTGTTTAGATCTATCTGAAATGTAACTGAAAATGAAACGAGTTATAAATTCGATGGGTAGTCAATATCCTCTTGTTTTTATTTTTCTTAAAACAGTGGAATTCTGTGTTTGGTTCCAATACTAACTATTGCTTGTTGAAAATTGATTCCATATACAATAATATGCAATCAACCATGACGAAAATATACTACATGGAAACGGGTTTATTATGTTAACTAATGAGGTGATCCTGTTCTTTTTTCAGCATTGCCACACCACCTGCTCTTGAGAATTGGACTAGGATGGCTGAAACTTTTGATAATTTCACCAGTTCTGTTAGTATTATCACATCTAGCAAGTAACCTCAGTCTCTTGTCAGGATTGTTAACCATTGCATCTGAGACTAAAACTTGATAATTGCACAGGTGAGAATTGCAATGGTTGGGAAATATGTCGGGCTAACAGACTCATATCTGTCTGTTGTGAAGGTACGGACTAGCTTAAGGTCTATTCTGATTTTGAGTGTAGTGTGGTGCTAACAATAGCACTTGGCAGGTGATTTTTCCAATTAAACTTTCTAAGAAACAATTCAGCTTAAAAAGAAGATGCTGATAAAAGAAGAGCCTCTCAGTTGCACTGCATTGGGTGTTGATTTTTCCATCTTTCTGGATTGTTCTACTACTTTTTTGAGGCAGTGCCCTTTGTACAATTAGTGTTAACATTGAACTTCAATTTTTTTTTTTTTTGGACTCAGGCACCCAGTTGCATTAGTGCTCCTTTACATTGATCTAAATCAAGAGTTTTAAAACCCATTACTCTTCCTATTGAGTGAACTAATAACACCCTTTTGTTTATTTTCTTCCTTTTTCTTGCAGGCCCTTTTGCATGCCTGCATTGCTTGTTGTTTTAAGCCATCAATTGATTGGATTGCAGCTTCTGATCTAGAAGATGACAGTGCAAAATTGGTATTGAATTCCCATGCGATGCTTATGTAACCTTCTTTTATGATTTCCTTGATATCTTTTTCCAAGTTTTTGAACATTTTTCTATTGCATACAGACCCCTGAAGCTCATGCTGCTGCATGGAAGACTCTGAAGGTAGGTTTTATTTATTTTGTGCTATTTTGCATTTTACTCTTTCCCATTTGTTCTTTGCTTTTATGTTCCAGAAACATCTTATCTTTTTCCCTTGACCAAATTCTTCTTATTTTTTAGCTCCAAATGGTGTTATGTCTTATCCTGGATGCTTACCTTTTGATTGATAGTCATCATGAAATTTTCAACTAACAACTCATTAGTGAAATGTTCACAGAAGAAATGCATTTAAATGTATCATTACTTCTTTTTCTTTTAATTTTTTATGATGCTAGATGTTGTTTACTTGGATCTGTCAAAATGCTTTTCTATAATGTGTTCGATCACTCTTCTTTGAAACTTCTCCAGGTTGGCCTCCTGTTTGTGCCTTTTTTTTCCTGTTAGGATAGTGCGGCTTGTTTCTGATACCATTGTGCATGATAGTTATAGAACTCTGTAAAGGTAGCTGATTTTAACTAGTAAGTGAATAAATATGTTCTATTTATGTACATGCCCAAACGGACTCTCTAAGTCTGTAGTTATTGTGTTTGTGGGTTTATAAGACCGGCCAATTTTTCTCCACAACATATTCTTAGAAAAGAGACGTGAATATTTAACACTGTGAAATTAATAGAAGTTGATCTTTACAACAATATTTGCAGAGTGCAGAATGTGTTTTGGTTCCTGGTGGTTTCGGAGATCGTGGTGTGAGAGGAATGATATTGGCTGCAAAATATGCTAGAGAGAATAAGGTTCCTTACCTTGGGATATGTTTGGGCATGCAGATTTCAGTAATTGAGTTTGCTAGATCTGTAAGTTTTTTTTTTCTTTCAATAATAGTATTCAGCTTCTCCAGCAAACACAGTGTCCTAACAATTTGTTTTAGGTTCTGGGCTGGGAAAGAGCCAACAGCACAGAATTTGACGACAAGACACCTGATCCTGTTGTAATTTTTATGCCAGAAGTATGCATTTGCACTTGAACTAATCTTTTCTTTGTCAAATATGTTAACCTTCTACATTAAGCCTGTAATTTTTTCTTCCATCCTGATGCAGGGTTCAAGAACGCATATGGGAAGCACAATGAGGCTAGGATCTCGCAGGACACTGTTACAAACTCCTGACTGTATTACTTCTAAATTGTATGTAATCTATCTGCATATACATCCAGAAATCGAAGAGGCTCACATGATTTCTGCATCATTCAAGTTGAAAATTCATTATAAATCATTTGATAGAAAAAAAAAGAAAAAAGAAAGAAACATGCCATACTTGTCAATCTTATGTGGGAAATTTGTTCATTTACCTTGTTAATGTATAAAGTACTAAGGCTATCAAATGCTACTTCTATGAAAAAAGAATAAAGATACATTTCAATGAGATAAGACCGAAATAAGAAAGTATTTTAAATCAAGTTTCAATTTAAGTGAACTGCATTTTAACTTCTATCTCACCAAGTTCGAATAAGAAATCCATGTACTAGGATTTTAAAAGTAGGAATAGAATTGGATTGGATTTTTTGGGCTAGCTCTGAAGAAATATTTTCATTAATTATAAAGAGAAGGAATATTTTGCTTACAGTTTTTGTTGAAAGCGAGTTTATTTTTTAAGAGTTTACGTGCTTAAAACAAAACTGACATGGGGAACTTTTTTCTTTGAGATCATTTTTGGTCAATAAATTAAAGGCTTATAGACCAAAAGAATTTATTACATGATCTATTTTTCTCTTGAAGTTCTGTAGTTAAGAAAAACCAATGCAAATAGTATTATAAGCATTGGTTAGCGCATTTGTGTCTGTCAGCTATCATTGTGTCTAGTTTCCCTATAAAATTATTGCAGCTGGACATGCATATGTGCACATTGATAAGATATCAAACCAATTGCTCTTTCCTTTTCTGGTGCTAGCCGGCAGTCCATTTCTATAACAAAGTTTTGCTGTTAGCAAATATAAAGTGGAGGTCCATTATGATAAACGAAGTCTAATAATTCACTTCCTATAATTTCAAAAGTTCTGCACTTTGTCATGGTTCCTTCTATTCATGCTTCCTGATTATACTTGTTCTTAAATGGCAGGTACGAAAATCCAGATTATGTGGATGAACGGCATCGACATAGATATGAGGTTAGTTGTGAATGCCAATATACTACATAAAGCAGATGATTTCACAGTGCATTTCCCATTTTGGATATGTATGACTTGATATTTTACCACCTTAATTTTCTAATTTTCAGGTAAACCCAGAAGTGATTGGAAATCTGGAAGAAGCAGGCCTAAAATTCGTTGGGAAGGATGAAACTGGAAAAAGAATGGAGGTAGGTTTCCTGCTAGGAGGTTTTCAGCTGGGCTCATGCTAACTCGTTTCTTTGACTTTGCCATAATTAATGTGCTTAGAACTGGAGAAGTCTTACTGGTTAATCTTTCCTTTTAATTCTCTTAAAAGTTTTGCGACTTTTGACTGTTAAACACACAGTCGTCAATTTCTTTGCTAAAAAAAGAACACTTTAGTTCTTGCAAGTGAGATATGAGTATTTGAGGGGTTTTTTTTTCATTCATCTTTTGTCATTCAGGTTTTGGAGCTTCCAAGTCATCCATTCTATGTTGGAGTTCAATTTCATCCAGAATTCAAATCAAGGCCTGCAAGGCCCTCTGCTCTATTTCTTGGTATTTATTAATTTGAATGCTAAACCTTCTTTATGTTCTGTGATTTTGAAATGCAACCTGATGGGAAGTATAGTATCATAGCATGTCATATCTTCTTATTAATGACATCCAAGGAAAACATGGGTTGATATGGAAGTTGATTTAGGAGGATGAAGGCTTTTCAAGGATTATGGTTCTACATGGTACCCATAAGCGATTAAATATTTGATTAACTATATTTTTTATACATTTAATAAAACATGGGTTAACATGGGATATGATTTAGGATGCATGAGGTTTTTAAAGGTTTATGGTTTTACATGGTATCTTTTGGAGATAAACAGATTTGGTTAACTATTGTTTTTGTATAACTGAAGTTTATTCTTTTAAAACTAGGCACTCAATATTAACCATTTATTTACCATAGCGTCATCACTCTCCCTTGGTTTGAATATTCATTCTCTTCGAAGTTGCCTAACCTTATTGTGCTTTCTGTATGCATATGAATAAAAATATCTTTGCAGCAGTGAAGTGCTTCATGAGCATGTTTGTAGAACTTTTACTGTGTTCTCACTAACTCCTTTTCAAGTAAATATTTGCAAAAATATGCTTTGGCAATTGCAGGTCTAATATTGGCAGCAACGGGACAGTTGAATGCATATCTTAACAGGCATCAGAATGGAATTTGAACTGACTTTTCTTTTTTCTATGAGTTGGTAAGACTGTAGTTATCAGGATTTGGCCTGGGAAGTAAAACGAACTTAACTCAATAGAAAGCAGATGACCAATGAGGCAATGCCTGAAAGGTTGATATTGATTTGAAATTGGTTCTTCGAATTGGGAGATAGCTGGTGGATTTTTTTTTTAAAGACATACAAACTCTAAGCTGGGAATATAAGTTGTTCCCCTTCCTTTTGGACTTGAAAAGGACATACTTGTAGAAGAAGCATTTTTAAAGCATAAAACGAAACTTGTATATTTAATTTCCTGCAGGTATTTTTTAGATTGTGCAACTTTTACCCAACAAAGAAAAAGAGAACTTCTGACAGATTATATGCTTTGGTGAGAAGATAAACACTGGAGAGTCTTGTAATTGATCTTTGTATTTGCAAATTATTTCTGGGAATCTTCCTTTTCTTCTTTGATCAGGTGAACACGTTGATTTTCTTTGGTGTAATGTTAGCATAGGCTATGAGTTTTGCTTTTAATTGGTCAAGGTTTGGGCCGAACTTGTTAGATTTGGCAAGTATTTTTTGGAGTAGGTCATGGTTCCATTAATTTATGCCTTAATAATTTTTCTACTTGGACTGGATTTGCCCTTAAACTGTGTTGGACCAGGAGGTTGGGTGGCTGGCCCAACCCATTTTGACATGTCATTGACTTGTGCTTCCAAAAGAAGGGTTCTACTATGGGCGACAGTATCATGTTAAAAAATTATTAAATAGCAATAAAAAATTTTAAGTAATCAAAACAGTACAATCGGATTCTTTTTTTTTTTTTCTGTTGTGACTATTCTAACTAATGGAATTTATTTACCATGGGATGTTCTTTAACTTAAAAATGTAATATGTTATTAAGATTTAATCTAATTTTGTCATTATAATTTATTAATTTTTTATTTTATTAAATTAAATATTATAGATCAATTATTATTAATTAATAATGTATTTATAAAATAATAAATTTTATGTTTTTTTTTTATGATATTTAAATATGTGACATTTATATAAAATATAAAGATTTTTAACAACTAAATTATTTTGTTGATAAATAAATATTACAAACATAGAAAATAAAATCATCCCTGGTATGAATAATAGATCGTAGATTTTCTCCCAAAAGAAGGCATCTATATTCATTGTTTATTTCAGAATGTGGACATTCTTCCTAATTTGCCAAACCGAGCTTCTAAGCATTTAAATCTCAATACCAAAAGGGATTCCTAAATCTATGTTCTAAAAAACTTTTTTAAAAAAGCTTAATTTGTATTAGATATAGAAATTCATTTGAAATTAAAATATTATGTATAAAAAAAAATTGTATTTATTGTTCTAATCTTATAAAAATAAAACTTAAATCAAATCCGGATTCTTCATAATGGAAAAATGGATATCCTATTAGTTATTATTCATGATTAAAATTGCAAATACTGGATCCAAGTCTCGGTATTTACAAACAAAAAACCCTTCTGTCTTGCAAATACATATATATATATATATATATATATCTGAAATTACTAAAAAAAAAAACCCAAAATTAAGGAGAAGTAAACATGTCCAATCCAAACTTTCTCCAGTTTCAATTAACTTGTTCCCCTGTTCAACATCTCATTGTACTGTAAATACGAGATCTGTCTCTGCAACTTGATTTGTTCATAGAAGTTAGCTATGAACTTCTCCGCTCTCAAGTCAATCCCATCATCCTCCGCCATTGATCCTTGACAATCTCCATCTTCCTCCTCTGCTCGACCTCCTAAGAAACTCCTCCTCCTACAATCATAACCATACCCATATTCTTCACAATGATGATCATGTTCGTGATCGCCGTCTAAATCGAAATCACAATCAAAGTCAACCGCGTGAGGAGTGATGCAGGGGAGGAGGAGGTGGCGCATGGAGGCCGCCGGTCGGTGCATCTTGACGTGGAAAATGGGCGTCTTGTCAAACGAGAGCTCACGTTCGCCGTACCGGATGAGTTCGTGGTTGGAGCTCTGGTTTGCAAGGCTTCTCAAATACTTATTCACCACCCGCAGCTCCATTAATAAACGGCGTTTGAAGACGCCACCTTTTCTTGTCCACAGCAATGCCAGTCTCAGCAGCCTCCATGCTCTGTTAGCAACGCCGTTATTTTGCTTATTGGCCATCTTGGTAAGTTTTCACTGTTCTGATTCCTTCTTTTTCTTTTTGGCTTTTCTTGTTTGGGTAGAAGCTGAAAGTATATACTGAATTAAGAAAAAACTTGAGAATTGTTCGTAAGGTAGGGGGAGATATATATACATATATATAGGAGTGAATATGTACGTATAGGTTGTGTATAAGTGTGTGTAATGTGTTAGAGAAGCATAGGAGATTTTTTGATACGCGGAGAGAGAAAAAAGGTTTGGTGAGTAAAAAATGTGAAACTGTGGGCGGTGGAAGCTTGGAAGAAACATGGCTGTACGCGGGAGAAATCGAGCTGTTGCAGTTTTATTTCCTAATTTGCCCTTTCCTAATTAAATGATTATGAAATTAAATTAATTAATTAGTTTTCTTGTTTGGTCACAAAAATTAACATATAATTATTTCTCAATAAACTGAAGCTTTCAGAATTTTTTTCACTCTCTTTTTACACAACCCTTTTAACGATTCACACGAATGAACCATGACACATTTGCGTACGCATGTTCCGGCCAAGTAAATCAATGATTTACCGCCACAGTAAATCTTGTTTTAGAAGAAACACCAAGCAGTAAATAATTTAAAGCAAGGTGACATCACATCAAGTTGGTTAATTCGAAGGGTATTTTTGTCATTACATAGGAAATGCAAAGGAAGTTAAGAAAGTGAATGATTAGAAGGGATGGGCCCCACACACCTTTATAATGAATCCATCAATTCTAGTTGTGTTCTTGTTGGGGCCGCTAACTTTTAGCGTTTGAATTAAGAAATTAAGAAACAAAAAAAAAAAAAAAAAAAAAAAAAAAAGGTTAAAGACTTTTACACAAGCAAACGGTTGCTTGTTGATTTTATGAGATCCTAAAACAAGAAAATAAACCATCAAGGCTTTGGTATAATTTGTAAATTTCAGATTATGAGTGTATTTTAATATTAAAAAAAATTAATTACAGTAAAAAAAAAACAAGAAACAAAATTACCCATTTAAAATTATATATGAAAACCAACAAATTTTAATCCAATTTTTATATCTACTTATATATATATATATATATTAAAAAGTCAACTTTGATTACTGTTATGTTTGAATTCTTTATGTATTTTACTAAAAAAATAATTGGGTTTGAATTAAAACAGAGAGATGATTAAGTACTTTTCTAATGAGATGTTGGATTCATTGAATAAAATTTTGTAATTAAACCGTGTATAGAGAACCGTACTAATCACTAATAATCATGTAATTCACTTCCTCTTTTCATCTCAGTTTCCTTATATTCACTAATCTTATTCTAATATATGCTTAAAAAATAATAAGCATTAATTAAAAAAGTAAATGGAGGGGAAAGGGAGAAATCATAATTAATTAGGTCAATGTGTCTATATACATATACGTACAAATATATTTATAGTTGATTTCGAATTTGGTAGAGATTAAGATAATTAATCGAAAAATGAGACCCATTTCAAGGCATATATATATATATATATAAGATCAAAGGAAAGAGTGAGACGCAGATTAAGGGATGCATGGACTGAGTTGGATACCACTCATATTAATTATTTTAATTTCATTCATTAAGGAGTTGTGATTTTCAGAAAATAAAATAAATTTGAGGAAAATCATTTGCATTTAATATTTATTTATTTATAAGAATTTTCTCTATCATATAGATAGATACATAAATATATTTATTTATTTTAAAAAGGGAAAACATCAATCAATTGCAGGAGTGAACTTGGCCGTTAGTTAAGTAAAAAGGTGGGCCCTACACTAACTATTTTAACCAAAAAGGAAAGTAAAAAAAAAAAACAGTGAAAATATTTTAACTGCGGTGTCACTTGATTTCAGTGCTTGTCTTAGAAGTCTCAGTTAGTTTACAACTTGCAGTTGACAGAAACTATAACCTCCTGTCTCCAGAAAGAAAGTTAAAAAACAAAAATCCAGCTTTCTTTTTGTCCTTATTCACAATTTTATTTTTTATTTTTTATTAATTAATAGCAAATGAAGACTTTAATATAAATATAAATAAACAAATAATACAAACTCATATTCAATTGGCCAACGTCGATTTAAACGGACCAAATTATAAAATAAATGTACATGCATTTAGGAAGAAATTTTTGATTGAATAATAAATACGTATCTCAATTTATAAAAATGTTATATTGTCTCTTTAAATTATATTTTCGTTCGTAGATAAAAAAAAAATATACACAAAGTTAAGATTAGTCACAAATATTACAATATTAAGCATTTTCACCTTACGAGATTGTATTGTCCTCGAGAATAAAAATATATATCTATATATAATAAAAAATAAAAGTATTTATCAATCAAATTATATACATACGTAAATTATAACATTTGAGGAAATAATATTCAATAAAAACGCACATGAGAAATATTTTAAATTAAATTTATGATCCTTTAATTAGTTTATTATACATTGAATAAATAATTTTAATCAATAAACTAAACTAAAAGACAAACCAAAAAAAAAAAAAAACAATCTAGAGTTAAATCATGCAGAAGTTTGGGAGGCACATTATAAATTATGATGTGCAATGTATATATTGAGTAGTTGTGGGTAATTGAAACTTTCAAATCACGTATATAATATTTGGTTGCCTTAATTTTGCAAACGTTCCATTTTTTATGCATTATTCTCAGCATTTAATTATGTTGCACGATAAAGATATATACATCTCCTCTATTTCTTCAAACTCAAGATATACTTTTTATTTATTTGATAATACATGTACCTATATATATAGCTAGCCAATATTGATATTAGTTGTTTATATGTATAGGTATGTCAATTCCTTAAAATGGTTTTGTTGTGGGCACCTTCGTGAACATTTTAATTGGGCAGATGCATTCCAGGTTGTCTGAGCTGTGAGGAGATCTATATATATATATACATATACATATTTAATTACCAATATCATTTGAATTGCTTATCAATTAGCTTACCTTACGCATATGTATTGACTATATATGTATATACACATCTACGTTATTTAGTGACGATAATTGGTCTATGCCATCACCATGGTAATGTGGTCCTATCGGGTGGTTATATGTATAGTAACTTATATGCAATTTAATTAATTAAAATCATAAATTTTTAAATAAAAATACATGGAAGTATAATTCAATATAAAATCATAATTTTTTTATAGGGGAAAGAACACATCAATATATATATATATATATATATAGATTATTCAAGAAAGTTAGATTAGAACTAAACAATTAATTGAGTTAATTGATTATACATAATTAACTTGTATACATATTTAATTAGTATGTGCAATTTAATTAATCTCTTGGTATGATGATAAAGAATATCATTTTAATATATACACACACACACACCCCTATTTAAACCTAATTAAGCTTGCTTATTGTTGAGATCAATTTCCATTTTGCCTTATAATAAGCAACAATATACACATAATACGTGTGTGTGTGTGTGTGTGTATTTCATTAATGTGGTAAGTTCAGTATTATACAACACATTAATCATTAATGTATATAAAAAGCTATGCATAATTTATTGCGTGAAAACCATCGAATTTAATTGTAAGTAAGTATGTATATATAATTATTTGACAGAAATGGCATCACTTGCTAATTAATGAACGTAATTACAAAAATGTTAATACACTGATATTGAATGGTTCTCGACTTCCATTCCTAATATTATATACGGAGAATTTTATATATAAATATATATGATGAGAAATATTGTATTTTTATTTAGCCAAAAAAGAGAGAAAAGAAAATAAATCAGCCAACCATTGGATCAAGTGATTACGTCACCGGTTGAGGTGAGAGCCGTTGGATTAAGTCGTCCTTCTTTCGACCAGTCTCAGGTAGAAGACGTAACACTTAGCGGTTCCTTCGGCTGAAACGTCGGTTCCGCGGCTGTCCACCCACTGAACATCAGTTATTTTCTTTTTTAGGAAACAAGAAAACACAACCAACTACTACTTTATTTCCCTCAATCACTCTCACGATTCAAACATTCTTCTCAGCAAGAATATTTAGTGCCTACTAAATAATAAAATTGAATCAATTTTTTATAGTATATACTTTAAATTTATCATTCATAGTAATTGCTTATAATATTTTTAATTGTGTTTTTAAGCTGTTACTTAGCGATAAAGAAGATACCCAGAAAAAAAAGATTGAATTTTTATACTTGTCAAATCATTGTAATAATATATATACACATTGAAACCATAAAATTCAGGTGAATACGCAATGGGCATATTCAAGTATTAATAAACTCCAACTCATGCGTCATGCCAGCTCCAAAAGAAAACCACTGATTGATCTGCTCATAAACTTTATTTTCTTCTTTTACCAAAAACAGAAGAGAGAATTGGTTGCAGGCAAAGTAAGGTTCAGTAAACCAGTTAGGAAATTAAATTAATAGGCGACTTTCTCCTTCACCGCCATTTTTAACCTTGACCAAGGTTTTAGTTTCTTGAGCTGTATTTGGCGCTTAGATTTCACGCGCATTTACTTTGTCAATTTAAACAAGCGGCTCTGCTCTGCTGTTCTCGCCGCGTTTGTTGGTGAAAACACCACGTACTCCGCATATATAAATTGCCTGTGAATGCTGAGTCTCTCCTTCAAGGTGGTACCTAAAATTGGCCCTGCGCTCGTCGCAGGCCGCAGGGACACCAGTCCCTCCAGTTAACGCCCAAAACCCATCATAGAAATCTTCGAGACAAACAAAAACTAGTTAATTCTCTGTTAATTCTATCTTCTTTTTTGATGGAAGAGGCATTAGAAAAGGGGACTGGGAGTACCGTCAAGAAACCTGATATTGACCGTGATCATGGCGGCCTGCCCGTGCGTAAGAAAAAGAGAGGAGCAATGCAGCTTATCAGAGTTGCTTTGTACCTTCTCCGCCACCGTTCGTCCAAATCCAAGCTCGTTCATCACGTGGGTGTAGCTGAAAATAAAAGCTTGTGGAAAAGGCTTGTGGGTTCCATTCGTCCTTTGCATCTCCAGAGCAACCAATCTCCTCCTGCGCCATTGACGATGACTTCTGATCTTCCGTTACCGTTACCGTCACCGTCATCTGCGGTTCATGAGCAGGTGGTGGTGGAGGAGGTGTTCACGCCACCTCCTTGCTCCCCTACGACGTCCAGCAGTTCCCACGACGACATGAGCAGGTATCAGTCGGCATTAAATCTCCAGGAGCTTGATCGCCATCATGACGACAGCTGCGAAGAAGATGATGAGGATTATGACGATGAGGAGGTGTACGATGACAATGGCGGAGACGAGATGATCGATGCGAAAGCCGAGGAGTTCATCGCCAAATTCTACGCTCAGATTAAGATTCAAAACAAGGCGTACAACGACCGGTACAACGCCTACGTACAACGCCAGGATTCGTTCATGGTTTGAGGATTAAAACGTCGACGTTTACTCATAATAATTTCATCACTTTGATGATTCTGCATCTGCATGCATGCACATCGGTCATGAACTTAATGGGTTTGATGCTGTGCGGCTGATCGTATCCATGTCTTTAATTCTGTTTTATTTTCTTTGTCGGGTAGTGGTTCGTGGGGTCAACATATTCAGGATATAGTAGTACTTAATTAAGGGTTTGAAAAAAAGGAGGATTCAAGGGGAAAAGAAGGTTGGTGTTCTTCTCAGTTTTTTCATTTTTTTTTTTTTAAATTTATTTCTATTGGTTTTTGTAATAATAGTTTTTTAATTTCTTGTTATTTTATTAAATTAGGGGGTGTTTTTTAGCATGAATATTAATGGAGGAGAAACTGGGTTGGTAAGCTTGTAATCTTTTCCTCCTCTCATTTGTATCAAGTTTCTGTAATACAATGTTTCACACCTCTAAATCTTCGTCTCTTACATTTTCTTTCTAATCTAGTTTTGATTTCTTTATAACTATAGGTTCAATATTCTGTATTATTAATTAATTTATTGTAAACAACATTTGCCTTCTTTTTAAGGTATCTTTTTGTTTTTCTCCTTTTCTCTCTTCCTCCCTCTGAGGTGCTCTTCTCATTCTTGAAACATAAATACTCTGAATTACCATTTTCAATTCTTTCTCTTTACCAGTCCCTCATGCCCAGAAACCTTTATCATTTGGTCAAAATATATTCTATATCATCTGGTTCATCACCATACAGATGAAGCTGGAGTTAGATAATAAGCATGAATCCCAAAACCACTTCTCTCCTCTTATCCAAAGGCCTTGGAGGCAGGCCCAATGAAGATTATAATAGCCAACTGCATAGGATTGTCCTATGCCTCTGTAATTAGCAGACTAAGGGCCTAATAATGAGAATAAGCCCAGATTTTCACTTTATATCAGAGACAAAAGTAGAATGATGTACATATGACTTTTTATAAGCCATAAGTTCGGCTTTGATAATTTGAAATTTGGCCAGTAAATGACATAAGAGGTGGATTATGTCTTGCTTAGAGAGCTTCTGTTGATGTCTATGTGCTAATTAAAGAGCACACAATTAATGTAAATTGGGTGTTCATATGGGTATATAGCCCCCTGTTTTACTCTACTAAAACCAAATTCTGAGAGAACTTAATTAAAATTTGCGAATGCATAGGGTTCTCATGGGTGACTTCGATGGTGTGCTAAAAGATTCAGAAAGGCGCAAGAACCATAATAGTAAAAGCTCATCAACAAATAAATTCTAGAATGTGATTGATTAACTTGACTTAATGGATTTTGGATTTACAAGGAACTCTTTTCCCCGGTCGAACAAGAGATGTGGAGTTGCGAATTCAAAGGCCAGACTTGATACAGCCTTAGAAAATTGTCAATGGTGAAATCTGTTCTTGGAAACTAACTGAACAAGAAATTAATAAGTTACAGCAACACCTAAATCAAGACAACTTGAATGAAAACTTCTCTACAAACTGAATTACATGAGTTGTTGACCCAGGAAGAGATGTTTTGGAGGGAAAGAAGCCGAAAAAAAGATGGATTTCCTCAAGGAGATTTAAACACTAAATATTTCCATCTTATGGTCACTAAAAGAAGAAAGCAGAAATCTATTGTTTTACTGAAAAATGTCAACGGAAATTGATGTGCTACTCAACAAATAATGTTATATCGATTTCTACAACTCAAATTTTAAACGATGAAAACGTACATCTTGAAAAAGTGTCGGATGAAAATGAAACTTAACACACTATCGAAAGTATAGGAGCTCATAAAGCTCGAACCCGGATGGTATATCGAAAATATTTAATTATAGATTCTAGCAAGGTGATTTCAAATATTTTAGCACTATGCTTATGGCCTATGGCTAAAATAATATTTCAATCAGCCTCCATTAAAGGTTGATAAATTCAAAATAATATTGTTATAGCTCATGAACTTTAACATTCTATGAATTAAATTTTCTTATTTGGGTTTGGGCTTCCATATCATGAATGAGCTTGAGAGGAGACATAATGACAATAACAAATTTACTTATTTAATTAATTTTGTCTCAACAATTAAAAGTGTAAAAATTATTCTGTCTCACGTTCCAAATAAAATTGAAACACCAAAAAAAAAAAAAAAAAGAAACCTATGATTAAAAAAAATACTTGAGTGCAAAGTTATATAAATTTTATTATTTTGAGTTATTGTTCATGATATAAAATGAAGTTATATTTAATTAAATATCGTTACATATATGTAACCTCGTGAAGTAATGTGGATCACCCTATAATGGATACTCCGCTACGAAAAGTCATAATTTTTTAAAATGTTATCATTATAAACAATTGTTCATAATCTTATTAGTCATTTTCAAAAATTTTAAAATTTAAATTTTTTTATAAAGACTAAAATTAATTCTAATTTTGATCCTTAGAAAAGAGTTTGGTAGAAAGGTTGACACACATTTTTTACCTTTTATGTTCTATATATTTTTTTTGAAATAAAATAGATATATTATAGAGAAAGTACCAAAAAATACTGCCCGTATATAAAATAATTACAATAATTATACCAATCTCTTCTAAGTCTCTCATGTATCCTAAATTTTATGGTCTATATTTATTTTTTACTTTCATTTCATTTCATTTCACAAAATCGAATTATAATTTTTTTTTTTTATTTAAGTTTCTTCCTCTCCTGTTTAAATTTGAACAATTTATAGTTCCTACTTGTTAAAGTAAATTAAAATCATGAGTTCCAAATGAATTAACACCCACCATACGTTATAAAACAAATTATATAAAAAAAAAAGAATAATAAAATGAAAAATCAGAAACAAAATAAAAAGCAAATAAAGATATTACCAAGTTACAGCAGTAAAATTCTTTTTTAAAAAATTACCAATTTTTAAGGACACTTACCCAAGGAAGAAAAAAAAAAAAAAAGAAAATGAATTTTCTTTAGAAAAAAAAACGGAGTAGGTCGTCTCTCTCAATTGTCTTTTGCCCCTTACCTATAACAAGCTCTCTCTTCGGTCTCCACCAATATTGATGATCCCACGGCTGAGCACGAAATGCCAAATCCGACGATCAAGATCTTCCCACGTCGGCAGAGCCCCGGGCCACGATCCGGGGGGACCCACCTCACTTTTACACTTTAATCTGGGACGTACGTTATCTCTACCAAAATCAATCAGAGGCAACCCGTTAGTATCCACGGACAATCTGCGAACACTTGTTCTTGATCCAACGGAGGCCCTTCTTTATAGAATCTTTGACTTTTCCCTCGACGGTGTAAACCTTATACTTAGCGATCCTCTTCTTTCTCTTCATTTCAGGATCGCTGAAACCCCAGGGCGGCTTCGACGCGCCCTGACTCGACCGGGTCGCCCGCGGCGGGACCGGCGGTCGTTCGGGAGAGTTATTGCGACTCGCGTAGATCTGATTGGAGCTCATGCTGAAACTCTTCCCGCTAACGATCTCCATCCTGCGATCACCTCCGTAACTCCTCTGACCCGAGCCGTACCCGTCCATCTCTGTGGCGGACGCTCCGATGGGAAGCGAGAGAGGGGGAGAGCGAGATAGATAGGGAGCGGATTGCTGGGTTTATAAGGCGAAATTTGGAGAGAATTTAGGGTTTGGGCATTGGGAACAGGGAAAAGGGTAAAGTAGGAAAAGTGAAAAGAAATTTATAGAATAATGAAGAGAAAGAGGGTTTTATAAAAGCTTGGTTTTTTTTTTTTTTCTGTTTTAATTTTAACAGTTTGCAATTTTGCATACGTGGTTTGTGCAACTCAACGACGTACTTTTTATTGTTTTAAAAATTATTTTCTGGAAGCTGAAGAAATTTTAATATTAAAAGTAACAGCCACAAATTTGCTGATTTCTTGTTGGATGAAACTCCTGTCTTCCTCCCCAGATTATGTTGCTTAAAAATGGCGCTTTCTGTTTTATTATTTATTTATTGGAGATTTTTTTAGAAAAGCAAAATAAATCATTACAGGAATCCGGAACCAGCAAAAAAGTTGACGGCTCGCTTTGCTTGATGCTCTGCTTTTCACTTCGCTCCAATTTTTTACTATTCCTTTTTTGTTACTGTAGTTTTATATTTTTATAAATTAACTTTCTAACATATTTTAAAATTTTAATTTAAATTAAGAATTTAATGTCATTTATTTGTTATTAAGATAATAGTATCTCTAACTTTATTAAAATTGATGAAATTTTAACTATTGTTTTTTTTTTCTAATTTCACTAACTTTTAAAATTTGTATCAAACTTAATTTTTACATTATTAGTTCAGAACTAGACCGGACCGGATTGAATTTATTTGGACCAGACAGAAAAACCAATGAAAAAAATATTTAGACTAGAGACCGAATTGTTTTATATTTTGTATCATTTTAATCCGCACTAAAAAAGATTACATATATACTACGAATATATATATATATATATATATATATATACACACACACTGCGGCACATATTACTTTTATATTATATGTTATATACGTACATATATAGAAAGGATGGAAAAGGAGAGGAAGGAGAAGTTGTACGACCAATAAAGAAAGAAAGATGAGTAACGGAGGGAGATGAAAATGAAAGACAGGATGAAGCTGTCTGTACGGCTGCGGTGGCTGTGGGAAAATGTTTTTATTATTATTTATTTCTTTTATGTCCATTACAAAAATTATGTAATATAACAAAATTCATATTATGGAGTTTTATGTTTATTTTGAAAATTCCCACTTAAAACATTGAATTAAAGTTATTAAAAATAAAAAAATCTCATTAATTTTTTTTTCTAACAACTTGAGGAGAAGAAAATTCTATTGATGATCATAACAAGATAAATTTTGGTTGTTCCATTTTTTTTTTCTTATTCTATCATATCAAAAAATATATATATATTTTTTATATATTAAATAATATACAAATATTAATTATAGTATTATATAAATAATTTTTAAATAAAGATATATCTAACTCAAAAACTTATAATTTTTTATGGGAAAAGAAACCTACCAACCATTATAACTTAAACAATAATTAATTGCATATATCAATTTTTATACACTTATGTGACATGTCGGTTGGATAAATTTATAAAATAGTAAAAATATTTTTATGCCAATTTTTACATATGAAGAAGACTAAGGTAATATTAATGTATTTAGAAATTCAATTATTCCAAATTAATAAAGTAAAAAATAAAACTCTTTATAAACTGAACTGACGGTTCAAGCTACGTTATTTAATTCACATATCTTTCTACATATTAAAATCTTCCCAAACAAACCCTTGAATTTTATCACTAAAGAAAAAAAAAATATATTTTTCAAAAGTAAATCACAATCATTAATGACCAAAATGGAGGAAAAAAGAAATTGAAGGAAAAAAATGTGGACAAAAGTTCGTCAAATATGCATGGGCCAACATATATATATGTATTCATCGACCTGATCAGTTAGAAAGTTTAAGATGAAGATCGACACCCACGTCTTCTTCTCGAGCCAATCTGCCAGTACCGAACCCATTCGCTGTAGCAGCAATCTGCATCAATGGCTGCGCGATGTAGATTCGAGCTGAACGAAGCTGATGATGACGAGGCAGAGGGGATGATGACGACGATGACGACGAAGTAAGCACCAAAGGCCTTAGCTGGTAATAAGAAGTTTGTCCAGACTCGAGTCTACTTTCTCGTGGACAAATGGCGGGCATCATCGACGGCCGCGGCGCCACCGGTGAGGCGATGGGGGCTAGTGGGTGGCTCTGATTGGCGTGACAGTTGTTGCGCCTGACGCGTTGGCGCTCTCGTTTGTGTGCGTTCTGGTGGCCGCCGAGTGCTTGGGAATTGGCGAAGACTCGGCGGCAAAACTGGCACTCGAATTTCCTGATCTCTCCGAAGGTTTCTGGTTTGTCGTCGTGGTGGGGTGTAATGATTTGCTGGTTATGGGTTAATGGGAATCCGAAGAGCTTGACTGGTGAAGCTGGTTCGTAATGATGATGATGATGGTCGGGTGGCAACACGTCAGTGACGGATGAGAAATCAGAAGAGGAGATGATTGGTGAGCTGCTGCTCTCTGCCATTATGAGTCATGAGAGAGCTAAATAAGGAGCAATAATTTATAGGGGAATTTTTGGGTTTTATTTGAAAAAAAAAATTAATTTCCAGTTGAAAATAACATGTGGCATAATTATCATTAAGAATATGATTTAGTGATTGAAATTTTTATAATTTATTTTAAAATCACAAATTCGATCTATATTTGAATATTATAAATTATGATTAATTAATTTATAATATTAAATTAAATTAAATTAAATTTTTTTATTTTTTAAATAAAAAAATATTTTGTGATAACTAATTTTTCATAATTAAAATTAATATAATATGCTCTCTGCCATTATGAGTAATTAGTGATTGGAGGAAGAAAATAGCCCGAGAAAGACGGGGGAAAGGACTAGTCACAAGAAACATTGATGTTGCTACTTTCTAGTGTGAATGGTACAATCTAACATACATCAACATTGTTTCATTGCCCCACCAACAACTATACCTTAAAAGCACGTGTTAATTGTATAAGGATTATCAATCCTTACATAATTATAAGTATTTATTTTGATTTTCAATATACATTTAAAAAAATTAGGGACTCAGAAATTAAAAATAATGGTGCAAGTTAAAGAGTACGATTTTAAAGGTAGTAAAAAGAAAGAGTGACAAATTTGTATTCTAAAATTTAAAATATATTACTCATTTTCTTTAAATTTATAATATAATAAGTTAATTTTTTAAAAGTTTATAATATGAATCTGCACGACTTCAAAAGATATTTAGTTTGTGTATCGCTTGTCTTATGTGTTATTGTTATTATTATTTTTTTTATAGAATTAAATAGTATAGATTCAACCATTCTTTCTTGTTTCTACTAACTAGAGCCTCATCCATGTTGTCTTTGGCGAGTTTGCTTGACTACTTGTCATTTGTTAGTGGCCAGTGTCTGAGTATGTTCTAGAGTTGCCTTTTGTTATTGACAATATCAATTAGTGCTTTTTTCTTCAACTACTTTTAGTTGCAGTATCCTACTATCCTTTTGCATGATTTTTTTTTTTATTTCTTTATTATATGAATGACTTTGTAGCTTGTTCCTTCACATGTTAGTAAAACTTATGTAAAAGTGTTTTTTTTTTAAATAGAAAATGTGGTTATTGTAATATCATCTATTAATTTATCAAGTTAGGTTTATGGTTGTCTTTGTATTAGTTTCCTGCTAGATATGTAATTGTTGTAATATCATTTATCTACTACTATACGTTTTCATCTTTATCTTGAAAAAGATAAGCATTGATATACTCGATGTAGCTACCAAAATAATTAAAATTCTAGATTTTTTTGAAAAAAAATAAATAATAAACTAGAGTGAATTACTAAAATATTACTTATGATCCAAATAGTGAATTTTATAAGGAATTAAAATACTAACTAAGCCTACTTCTTTTTTAACCTAAATTTTGTATTCATTATATTTTGTACTCACCATGATCCAAATATGTTACATCTTACCTAATTATAGTCTAGATTTTAAAGTTTAAAAATAAGATATTCTTTTGTTGTTTAAATAACGGACACTTTACTTAATTTATAATAATTTTGACGGAAAGATGAATAGTTATAACACTTAGAGTCCAAATATTAGGCATGGAATGTTGAGATTTAATGTTTTTCTAACAATAAAAATAAAAGAGTTTTAATTTTTATTTACATTTATTATTTTTTTATAAATATACATTTTGAATTTTTTTAAACAATTTTCAGAAGTCATGGCCAAACTGTAAATTAAAAGAAATGAGCCATGTACGACAGCCATATCAGCAGCAAGGCGAGTCAGAACGCGCTGCGTGGCGGACATGCTGGCACAGGCTCCACGAGGGTGATCCGCGTGCCAGGGCAATCCACCGATCTGTGCTCACTCCGGCGCGCACGAACGTTCCTGATTGAAGAACGAGAGGTATTTAAACCTCTTTTACCTGACTCCCCAAAACCCTAGCTGATGCACCCACCGGAGAAGAAGAAGAAGTGTGGCCGAAAAGGAAACCAGCCACCGGAGGAAAGTTAGTGCCACCGTGCCGGAACACCAAAACGCTTTGGTAAGCCCGAAATTCTTTTATGCTCTTCCCGTTTCTCTGCCCTAACCTATCTAATGTGTTTTCAATGCAGGGTAACCAAGGGAAGCTGCAACCCGCGAGGAAAGAGTGGTGGAGCTTGGTTGAGCCACTGCAACCAAAAGCCGAAATCGCTGGTAAGCTTCAGTTTCTTCCTTATTTTTGTCGATAGACACCTCATAACCATGATTTAAACATATTTTTATCGTGAGTCAGCTGAAACTGGCTTGACCAAGAGGAGGAGCCATCGCAGAATGACGACTAGGCGGCGGAGCACGGCAGCGCCACTGCGCCGAACTCTAACTCGACCCCTTGATAAGATTTTTGTCTTTTTTTTTTGTATTTTCTCGCATATTTCTACACTATTTTGACGTAAGTTTCAATCTTAGCAGGAAAATTCAAGAATCCAACAACCGAAAATCGTAGTAAAAAAAATGGTGTTCCGGATACTGACCCAGAGTAAGAATCCATCCATTTTTTCTGTTACGATTAAATTGAAGCCAAACTGATAATAAATAGAAATTTTAGTTAATTGGTAGTTCTTTAATTAATTAAGTACATGTTATCAATAAAGAAAGTAACCGGCCAGTCTATGCCTGTTTTGAGTTTTAATTGCAGTAGTTATTTCTTCAGTCGTTTATTATGCTTATCTATTCACTGTTTTGCTTACTTTAATTTATTCACTTTAAATCTATAGA